TTATTTTTATATTGTTTTTAATTTACTTATCTTTAGGTTATTTTATTTTTTATTGTACATAGTTTTTTTTATTATTATGTAGTTATTATTTTACTTTTGTTAATTTTATATTTTCTGTATATATGGTGTGAATGTGTTCGTATATCACTATAATTATTGTCCACGAGACAGATTTTTATATATCTAATTAAAAAAAAAAAAAAAAAAAAAAAAAAAGAATAAAAAAATATTGTTAAGTATGCAGTGATTATAAAAATCTTAGTTTCCGCCCTTGAAAAATGTGTACAGTAATAACGTATACATATAAGTTAATATTTAATTTAATTTTTGTGTAAATGGTGATATTTATTTTTTGATAAAAAATTTTTTAATCATATATATTTATGCTAACCCACATCACTCAGTAGGTGATCATTACTTTTAATCGAATCAATAAGCATCAATTTTTTATAAATTTTTATTTATAAATCAGGCATGATTTTGAAAATAAAAATTAAATATAATAATTATAGCATGCTTTTATGGAAAAATTTTTTTACATAATTACATAATTATTAAGCACATCATTTTTTTAGCTTTGATAGCCGAAACGTTATAATATGGGGAACGTAAAATTTCTTGTAAAAACTATTTTTTTTTTATAATGAAATAAAGGTCTTTTTTGTAAAAATATTAATCGTATATTGATTAAATTTAGTAATAAAAAAATGTATTTTATTTTTCATTTGATTTTTAAATCTGGCATGATCTAAAAAAAAAAAACAAATATAAGAATTGTTACATGATTTTATGGAAAAAAATAATTATAGATTTCAAACTCTGATTACTTCCATAGTATTTGTTTTTTTCATGATTGTTTTTTTTTCTGGACGATGTGGAAATAGCTTGGATAGCGGAAACCTTATAATATTGAGAATGTAAAATTTCTTGTTATAATTATTTTTTTAATAATGAAATAAAGATTGTGGAATTAATGAGGTCTTTTTTGTAAAAGCATTAATCGTATATTGATTAAAGTTAGTAATAAAAAAATGTATTTTATTTTTCATTTGATTTATAAATCTGGCATGATTTTAAAAATAAAAATCAAATATAAGAATTATTACATGATTTTATGGAAAAAATAATTATATATTTCAAATCCTGATTACTTCCATAGTATTTGTTTTTTTCATGATTGTTTTTTTTTTCTGGACGATGTGGAAATAGCTTGGATAGCCGAAACCTTATAATATGGAGAATGTAAAATTTCTTGTTATAATTATTTTTTTAATAATGAAATAAAGATTGTGGAATTAATGAGGTCTTTTTTGTAAAAGCATTAATCGTATATTGATTAAAGTTAGTAATAAAAAAATGTATTTTATTTTTCATTTGATTTATAAATCTGGCATGATTTTAAAAATAAAAATCATATATAAGAATTATTACATGATTTTATGGAAAAAATAATTATATATTTCAAACTCTGATTACTTCCATAGTATTTGTTTTTTTCATGATTGTTTTTTTTTCTGGACGATGTGGAAATAGCTTATAATATGGATAATGTAAAATTTCTTGTTATAATTATTTTTTAATAATGAAATAAAGATTGTGGAATTAATGAGGTGTTTTTTGTAAAAACATCAATCGTATACTCATTAAAGTTAGTAATAAAAAATTATTTTATTTTTCATTTGATTTATAAATCTGGCATGATTTTAAAAATAAAAATCAAATATAAGAATTATTACATGATTTTATGGAAAAAATAATTATATATTTCAATCCCTAATTACTTCCAAAATATTTGTTTTTTTCATGATAGTTTTTTTTTTTTTTTTTGTTTGACGATGTGGAAATAGCTTGGATAGCCGAAACCTTATAATATGGAGAATGTAAAATTTCTTGTTATAATTATTTTTTTAATAATGAAATAAAGATTTTGGAATTAATGAGGTGTTTTTTTTAAAAACATCAATCGTATATTGTTTAAAGTCAGTAATAAAAAAATGTATTTTATTTTTCATTTGATTTATAAATCTGGCATGATTTAAAAAAAAAAAACAAATATAAGAATTGTTACATGATTTTATGGAAAAAAATAATTATAGATTTAAAACTCTGATTACTTCCATAGTATATTTGTTTTTTTCATGATTCTTTTTTTTTCTGGACAATGTGGAAATAGCTTGGATAGCCGAAACCTTATAATATGGAGAATGTAAAATTTCTTGTTATAATTATTTTTTTAATAATGAAATAAAGATTTTGGAATTAATGAGGTGTTTTTTGTAAAAGCATTAATCGTATATTGATTAAAGTTATTAATAAAAAAATGTATATTACTTTTCATTTGTTTTATGAATCTTGCATGATTTTAAAAATAAAAATCAAATATAAGAATTATTACATGATTTTATGGAAAAAATAATTATATATTTCAAACTCTGATTACTTCCATAATATTTGTTTTTTTCATGATAGTTTTATTTTTTTTTTTTATTTTTTTTTTTGGACGATGTGGAAATAGCTTGGATAGCCGAAACCTTATAATATGGAGAATGTAAAATTTCTTGTTATAATTATTTTTTTAATAATGAAATAAAGATTGTGGAATTAATGAGGTCTTTTTTGTAAAAATATTAATCGTATATTGATTAAAGTTAGTAATAAAAAAATGTATTTTACTTTTCATTTGTTTTATAAATCTTGCATGATTTTAAAAATAAAAATCAAATATAAGAATTATTACATGATTTTATGGAAAAAAATAATTATAGATTTCAAACTCTGATTACTTCCATAGTATTTGTTTTTTTCATGATTGTTTTTTTTTTCTGGACGATGTGGAAATAGCTTGGATAGCCGAAACCTTATAATATGGAGAATGTAAAATTTCTTGTTATAATTATTTTTTTAATAATGAAATAAAGATTGTGGAATTAATGAGGTGTTTTTTGTAAAAACAACAATCGTTTATTGATTAAAGTTAGTAATAAAAAAATGTATTTTACTTTTCATTTGTTTTATAAATCTGGCATCATTTAAAAAAAAACAAAAACAAATATAAGAATTGTTACATGATTTTATGGAAAAAAATAATTATAGATTTCAAACTCTGATTACTTCCATAGTATTTGTTTTTTTCATGATTGTTTTTTTTTTCTGGACGATGTGGAAATAGCTTGGATAGCCGAAACCTTATAATATGGAGAATGAAAAATTTCTTGTTATAATTATTTTTTTTATAATGAAATAAAGTTTGCAGAATTTATAAGGTCTTTTTTGTAAAAATATTAATCGTATATTGATTAAATTTAGTAATAAAAAAATGTATTTTATTTTTCATTTGATTTATAAATCTGGCATGATCTTAAAAAAACAAAAAACAAATATAAGAATTATTACATGATTTTATGGAAAAAAATAATTATAGATTTCAAACTCTGATTACTTCCATAGTATTTGTTTTTTTCATGATTGTTTTTTTTTTCTGGACGATGTGGAAATAGCTTGGATAGCCGAAACCTTATAATATGGAGAATGAAAAATTTCTTGTTATAATTATTTTTTTTATAATGAAATAAAGTTTGCAGAATTTATAAGGTCTTTTTTGTAAAAATATTAATCGTATATTGATTAAATTTAGTAATAAAAAAATGTATTTTATTTTTCATTTGATTTATAAATCTGGCATGATCTTAAAAAAACAAAAAACAAATATAAGAATTATTACATGATTTTATGGAAAAAAATAATTATAGATTTCAAACTCTGATTACTTCCATAGTATTTGTTTTTTTCATGATTGTTTTTTTTTTCTGGACGATGTGGAAATAGCTTGGATAGCCGAAACCTTATAATATGGAGAATGAAAAATTTCTTGTTATAATTATTTTTTTTATAATGAAATAAAGTTTGCAGAATTTATAAGGTCTTTTTTGTAAAAATATTAATCGTATATTGATTAAATTTAGTAATAAAAAAATGTATTTTATTTTTCATTTGATTTATAAATCTGGCATGATCTTAAAAAAACAAAAAACAAATATAAGAATTATTACATGATTTTATGGAAAAAAATAATTATAGATTTCAAACTCTGATTACTTCCATAGTATTTGTTTTTTTCATGATTGTTTTTTTTTTCTGGACGATGTGGAAATAGCTTATAATATGGAGAATGTAAAATTTCTTGTAAAACTATTTTTTTTTATAATGAAATAAAGGTGTTTTTTGTAAAAATATTAATCGTATATTGATTAAATTTAGTAATACAAAAATGTATTTTATTTTTCATTTGATTTTCAAATCTGGTATGATCTTAAAAAAAAAACAAATATAAGAATTATTACATGATTTTATGGAAAAAAATAATTATAGATTTCAAACTCTGATTACTTCCATAGTATTTGTTTTTTTCATGATTGTTTTTTTTTTCTGGACGATGTGGAAATAGCTTATAATATGGAGAATGTAAAATTTCTTGTAAAACTATTTTTTTTTATAATGAAATAAAGGTGTTTTTTGTAAAAATATTAATCGTATATTGATTAAATTTAGTAATACAAAAATGTATTTTATTTTTCATTTGATTTTCAAATCTGGTATGATCTTAAAAAAAAAACAAATATAAGAATTATTACATGATTTTATGGAAAAAAATAATTATAGATTTCAAACTCTGATTACTTCCATAATATTTGTTTTTTTCATGATAGTTTTTTTTTTTTTTTTTTTTTTTTGGACGATGTGGAAATAGCTTGGATAGCCGAAACGTTATAATATGGAGAACGTAAAATTTCTTGCTAAAACAATTTTTTTTTATATAATGAAATAAACATTGTTGAATTAATGAGGTCTTTTTTCTAAAAATATTAATCTTATATTGTTTAAATTTAGTAATAAAAATAATGTATTTTATTTTTTTCATTTGAAATATTGGCCAGGTCTGCAGCCAATCATTTCTTTTCCATTTGGTTTTCCTTACTTCTTTAAATTTCTTAGCGACTCACCTCTGTTCGACAGGAAGATGGTCCAGTTCTGGTATCCTGCACCAATGGTTCTCCGGAACGAGGGTGATGAAGATCTGGACAAAGTATACGCAGGCGACGGCAAAGGTAAAGGGAATCATCATAAGGAAGAGGAGCTTCTGGTATATACCGAACTCTCCTACGTGGGGCAACAGGTCATCGAAGTCAGCGACTTCTTGCGTCCTCTTCGTCCCTTCCATGGCGGGAGTTGCTTCGACTCTGGGATCTGCGCTAGGACTGGCTCCCCTCCAGGCCACATGGCTCATATAGTCCACCTGCCACCCCGCCACCCCCTCCGAAACTTCGGCCCGTTTCAATTTCCTCTTTTCCTTGTATATACGAGCCCTTCGTTTTTAAGATTTTTTTTTAATTAATGAAGAAAGATAACCGAGAATGAAATGCAGCAAAAATCTTTGTTTAACAAAAGACTTCTATGTTTTCGTCGGTCTAATCTATGCATCTTTCTAAGAAATATCTATATAAATAAAATAAAGATTTTGTCTGTACATTGAATAGAATCAACCCGTTTTATGATATATTTACAGACACCTTTTTATCGAATCATTAACATCCGCCTGAAACTTCGTAAATAGTTTCATCTCATCGTAACCTACAACTATTTTATTTACGAAAACTCTTGTAATTGGGGCGTTTTCAATCTGGAGGGGAGCCAACTTTGTCCATTTAATTAGGTACCAAAAACTCATAAATATTCATCTGCTTTCTTCTTAGATCGTCCCTTCTTCTCAGATTTTTTTTTTTTTTCTTTTTAGGAAAAAGAACCGAAAATGAAAATCTTTTGTTATTCAAACATTGATTGATATTAATATATTCACATTCAAGTGGTGTTTGTAGTGGTAAAATTTATATCTTAATTCATAGTTCTAATTCAACACTACAATCACCTCCTCAGGAATCAACTCACTGTCTGTATGGATAACTTTCGATCAACGGATCGAACAATCCATAATCAACGAATCGTACAATCCATAATTAACCGGTGATATAATAAATAGGACTTTTGTTATTTTAATAGTATTTATGATTTGTTAGCAGTAATCTTTTAGCTTTAGCTCAGTTAAAAATGCAATTAAAAAAATTTATAATAGCCCATCATGGCCATAAAATAATTTCTATTCAAAGTTGAGCGGTAAGTGAAAGCTGTGTGTTGTGCGCACCAGATTTTTTTATCTATTGGCATTACAGACCATGTGTCTTTTGTAATACGGAAGTAAACAACACCTTGTCCATTTTCACATTTGTTCAGGGGAGCCAATATTCCATAACTTTGAGCTATTAAAATAGTTTCTTTGTTATAGTCCGTGGTACAGACCCCTTTTTATCGAATTATTAACATCCACCTGAAACTTCGTAAATAGTTTCATCTCATCCTAACCTAAAACTATTTTATTTACGAAAACTCTTGGAATTGGGTCGTTTTCAATCTGGAGTGGGTCGAATTTTGTCTATTTAATTAGGTACTAAAAACTCGTAAATACTCATTTCCTTTCTTCCTAGATCGTTCGATTTTAATTTCCTCTTTTCCTTGTAAATACGAGCCTTCATTTTTAAGATTTTTTTTTTAATTAAGAAAGAGAACCGAAAATGAAATGCAATAAAAATTTTTTGTTATTCAAACATTGATTGATATAAATATATTCACATTCAAGTTCCTATAAAAATTACGTCAATAACTCTAGATCTGATATTATATTTAAATATTTAGGTATCTATCGTCCGTTTATTCCGAAAAATCGTAATGTGACCTTTTAGAAAATTAAATTAGTATATAATTAGATAAATTTTCTCTTTTATGAGATTTGCATTGTCTGTCATAGACAGGTCAAAATTTGTCACACTAATTGTAAGAGGATGCTGTATATATATATGCAATTAGTGTATATGTATATATATATAGCGATATTCCAACAGCATCCACTTACAATTAGTATGACAACTTTTGACCTGTCTATGACAGACAATGCAAATCTCATAAAAGAGAAAATTTATCTAATTATATACTAATTTAATTTTCTAAAAGGTCACATTACGATTTTTCGGAATAAACGGACGATAGATACCTAAATATTTAAATATAATATCAGATCTAGAGTTGCAATGCAAATCTCTTAATTCCGTTTCAATAAACTTCGCAATGGAAAATAACAGTTTAATAATTATTAGTCGTACAATTCATAATCCACAACAACAAAAAAACGCACTTACAAAAACTACAGGTACGTCAATAACAAAACTTCACATAACGACTTACGACAACTATCGACCAACACATACGCGATCTCTACTCAAGATTTCAACTTAAACTACACGGACCTCACAACGGACTTATGAACGACATGACCACAGCTGACATGCCTATCAGGAGACGACTAAAGAGGAGCTGGATGAGAGATCTCCTTCCCTGAATTAAGGAAATAAATCAAGAACAGGAAGAAGTGCTGCTGGATGCTATTTTTTTCGCTCATGCCTAAAATGCCTTATTGTCAAGCTCATGACAGGTGTGGATGGAAATATGAAGAAAAAAAAATTTATTTATATTTTTTTCGTTATTCTCCATTACCTTATAGAAATTTATTTATTTGATGATATTATTTTTTCTAAAATTCTCCAACGATATATTACACATATACCTTCTGACAGTTATTTCCGGAGATTCATATTCATCCTGGATAAGCATGTTTCTTTTTTTTTTTTCCAGTTTCCAGTTATCATTTTCTTTCAAACTTCATATTTAACCTTTTTTTTTATAGTTACTGTCAATAAAGGAGAGCTAATTTTTTTAAATAAACCATATTAAAGGTACTTTAGAGGAAGAACATTGGGAATTTAAGCCCTGTAAAGTTACATCAATGGGGATAAGACCCTAATGATATTAAAGATTACTTAATTATACAATGATTGTAAAAATGCGTTTCACGGTTGATATAAAGTGGCACTTCCGGTTAACCGATTTTAAGGAAAAAGTTGTCGTCACATCTGAGGCATATACCTATCTTAAATACGTGATATCAGTTTCATACGACTTTTCGTTTTTGGACTAAACTGTTCACATACAGACACACACGCAGACATATAAACCATTTAGCTGGACTTGGTTATTTGGACTCAGGGAACCTAAAAATGTGTGTTTCCATTGAAAACTCAGATTAAAAAATTTTCACGATCAATACTTTCCCTTACTATATATTACATATATAGGTAATTGAAAGTAAAAAGTAAAAGTAATGAATCAATTATCTCGAATTGCGCGCACAACACCAGATTTTTTTGCTAGTTTGCGAATCTCTGAGAACCGAAACACGAACAAAAAATTATCTTTTCTACAAAGCCTTGAATATAGGTCCGAGAACTACAAGACTAATTCTTTTTCAAAATAAAATTATAATAAACTTTTTTTTAATTAAGCAAAATACTCAATTATTTAATTAACGAAACTAATGAGTTATTTCATCATCAACAACAACGCAGAGACCTTCCAATAAAATTGGATTACAAGCTCCTATAAAAAGGAAGAATGTACTCATCGTGTTTAATAGTGCATAACACGCTAAAATTTTCCTCACGTCAATTGCTACAATTATATTATAATTAAAAATTCATTAGAAAAACAAAAACTTGTTAATAGTTCATTATTATTCATATCGCTGTATTCATTGTTTGGATATTTCTGGGCTTCCGTCCGCAGTTCACGGATTAGCTCCGAAACTACTTGGCCAATTTTTTTCAAATCTGTAATCAAAGTCATAGGTCACACGAGGATGATCCTCCTTCATCGACATTACTATCCGCCCTTTCCTTTCAAGATGGCGATCGAAAAACCTGCCTTGCTCTATAGACTAGCGCCTAAACGAATGTACCGATTTCAATGAAACTTTGTCTTCTTCTCGATGCCCTTTAAATTTATCTATATAACATACTTCAACGAAAAGAATCTGGAAAAAAAAGTTACAAAGGATGGTAAAATTAGATTCCAAATAACTCAAAAAGTTCACACTTTTTTGTTAATATTGTGATAAAATGTTTGAAAGGTATTGAAATTTCCAAAAAAAAATGAAGGAAGTTTTATCGAAAGCACTATCAGTAAAGATATCGCGATTTTTAAATATTTTTGGTTTATTTTCGATATTGAACCATTGTAATCTTCTAAAAAATTTAAAACTACCCGCCCCCCTCAAAAATTTTCACATCAAAGCGGCTAAATTACTTATGTCTCATATACATCCATTTGAAATCCATTGGCTTCTGGTTATTTCTATAATAGTTTCTCACTTTGAATACCGCAAACCCGCCAGTACCCTCCCCACATTTAAATTTCGCCTAATTAACCACTTCCTATCCATTCAATTCCTAAATTTTGTAAATAGATATGTTTGTGAATATTTAAATGATTTTTTTTTTTTTTTACGAACTGATATCAATTTCATCAGTTTTCATTTATTTATTTAAATACACGCACATCACAACGGACTTATTAACGACATGGCCACAGCTGACATGCCTATCAGGAGACGACTAAAGAGAAGCTGGATGAGAGATCTCCTTTCCTGAAGTAAGTGAATAAATCAAGACCAGGAAGAGGTGCTGCTGGGTACTATTTTTTCCTCATGCCTAAAATGTCAATTTTCTTCTTAGTTACAGTACATCTGCTTATTGTCAAGCTTATGGCAGGTGTGGATGAAAATATGAACCCCCCCCCCCAAAAAAAAATTAACATAATGTATAATGTATATTTATGCTCGTATATCTAGCTAATAAACATTAATAAAAAACATGTAATAATTAGTATAGGTAGGAAAGAAAAACCATCTACGAATCTCTCGTTTCAAAGGTGCTGACAGAACGAACCGAACCTGTTCCGAACTGGTTCAAATTACAAGGTACTTAATACACGCTCGTAACGATTACTCATTAAACGAGTCGTTCAGTAATAGTCTACTTACTCCATGTTGCTACACCTTTGGCAGAGTATATAGTCATTTTGTTTTTGTATTTGTTAATTATTCTTTTTAATTATTTAGTAACGTATAGCTAGTATTTCATATAGCTATATAAGAAAAAAAGAAGTCTCGTCTAAAATCAAATAAAGGTTAGAAACATATTACTTTTGTTTTTTTTAAATAATCGATTAGAAAGTCAGCTGTGATCATACGCAAGGTTAAGCACCTGCAACTGTAGTTAGTCATTCGCGTTCATTACCGGTTGAAGTTGAAGAGTGTTGCAAGCGATTTTCTAGTGCGTCTAGGAATAATTATTGTTGGGTATTTATTATTATTATCATCCGTCCC